GCTGCTCACCGCGGCCGCGCGCCAACTGGACGGCGGAAGACATGTCAGCGGACACGGGCCGCCTCCCGCTGGAGCCCTTGCTGCTGCCGCTCCTCAGCGCCCCGGGCCTGGCCCTGCTCGCGGCCTTGCTGCTCCTGGTCCTGTGCCTGCGCGCGGGGCGCACCAGGTAAGCAACCCGCCGGCCTCCCCGCGCGGCCCGGGCCACGCATGCGCCCTGGGCCCCGCGGACCGCGCGCCACCCAGATGGCCAGGGCAGCCCACTCCACGGTTTTGAGTGCGGGCTGTCCAAACTTGCTGGGGGGCACTGGCGTGTTTGGGGATCCTGCGTAATGTCAAAGGCTTTTTATGCCTCTTTCCTATACATACACATACAAAGCGTTGGGACCCAATTCGATTTGCTGCTGCTGTGTAGATCGTTATAAGCCCTAGTTTTGTGTTACACGTTATGCATCACGCATGGCCTCCAAACATATAGGTTTTGGGGCCTCCTTACAGCGAGTTGATGCTGCATGGCCTGGAATTCATAGAACGTTTCGGGAGGGAAATTTGCTTACATTTCATTCAGTTCAAAGTGAAACGTTTCAGAAAAATGTGTGGTATGAACAACAAATCTGGGTGACTCTCTGCCTCAGTTTACCTCACTGTTCCTCATTTGAGAAGACGAATTAATAGTATCTCATGGGATATTTGTGAGTACTAAAGGAGTTTACAGTGTGGATTTTATGTATTTGCTCTATTACTTTTTATTAGAACAAACAACAAAACCCAGAAGTTGGTCACTTCTTTATCTGATTTGAAATGTAGAAGTAGAACAGAAGTTCAAAATAAGAGCACGTGCTCTACGGTCACCCTATTTTTTCCTTTTTACCGGGTTATTTTTTTCATACTACCAGGTTATAGCATTTGAAAAACAAGCAGGTAAGTTTTACTGGATGGTAATTGCTACTTTGTGATTAGATATCACATACACTCACATTTACACACATATGTGTATGTGCGTTTGTATAGATACACACACATTTATATATCTCTGTATATGTACGAGTATATGTGTATGTGTGCAATATAGTTTACTTCTCAATTGTTTTGGGAAAATGGCACTGTTGTGCTGCTTTCAAATACCTGTGGACATTTCTAGAATGCCCATGGATGAATACTCTAGAAGGGAGCTATTGCTTTTTTTCCCATGAGAGTTTTCAGTGATCTTCCTGGAATATGCCGAGGCCTCTCCTAAGATGGTTATCTGTTCTACTCCCATTTTACATGCAGGGCAAGAGCAGGCAAGCTAACCAGGGCATTCAGGGTCATCAATGGTTATCGGGGTGAGAATGTCGAATTAGGGGAACAGTTGGAAAGGCAAAAGGGTTTTCGCCCTCAGCATTCTAAGACTAGGCTTATCTTTCTCTGTACCACTAAAAAAATATTATGCTGAGGGATTCATGCTATCAATTGTCAATTCCTTCCAAACAGGAAGACCCTATTTAATGCTGCAAATACACAGGGCACTACATTTAAAGAAGTTTGATTATACCGTATTTCATTGTATAAAAGGTATCATCATTTGTCCTTATACAAAGAAAATCATGTTCTTTATTGTTACTATGTTTCGTGTGTGGACATTTCACTCTAGGACAATGCTCTTTATGATACCATCATTAAGAGAGGAAACTAGTTAAGAGTTTCTTACACATTATTACAGATTTTTTTATGCTTACACTAATGTGTTTGAATGTATGTCAATAAAATACGTTCTGTGTGGCAACTTTCTTTTTCTACTTTACAGTGCATTTTAGACACCATTTGAAAAACAAGCAGGTAAAACATCTTCTTAGACACCTTTCTCTGTTCGGTATTGACACTGTAAAACATCTTCTTAGACACCTTTCTCTGTTCGGTATTGACACTGTAAAACATCTTCTTAGACACCTTTCTCTGTTCGGTATTGAAATCATTATTTGTAATGACTGTATAGAGATATACCACACTCATACGCGGCACACACACACACATACACGCAAACATAGATGTTTGAGATTTTGTGGAAATATTTATGTGGGATTATGGAGTTGTCAAAATGTGTGTGTGCTTTACACTTTAATAGATGTTGCCAAAGTACTCTAAGTTCCAATTTATGTTACTACTAATGATCTATGTTAGTGCCAATTTCTCCATATCCTGTCAATACTGGTATAAATCATTTTAATTTCACCAGTCTGATACATAATGAAAATAAAACTTTATTTTTATCTCAATTTTTATTTATTTACTTTTGAGAACTTTGGACATCTTTAAAGGAGGTCATTGTCTCTTTGTTTCTGGATCATTAATAATAAATGGTCATCAACCACTTCTTGATCATTAATAGCTTATATAATAGGAATTGTCACACTTTTTCATACCTTCTGTAATTATTTTGCTATTGTTATTAGTATTTATTTAAGAGTTTCTGGATGTACCTCTTGCTTAGAAAGCTCTTCTACTCTCCAATATGATAAAAAAATATTCACCACTGTTTTCTATCTAGTTTACTTTAAAAGATTTTACACATACGTATATTACATATATTTTTATTCTCATTCTATTTCCATCCTTTAAACAATTATGTCTGAAGTTTGTAATATAGCATATTAGAGGAATGCTGGATGTTCCAAAGTAAATATTTGAACGTTACCTACAAAATTGGTAAAATTTTAAAAAAATAGGTAAAAACTAGCTCAGAGGCCATTTGTTATCTTCGGCCACCTACCATCCCATTCTGCCTCTTCATTCCATTCCGCCTCTTTTGACTACAGCACTTTGATTTCCTTTTGTGAAATTGTGTTTTTCTCTATTAGACATGATCTGGTGAGACTGTCAACCACAGAAGCCATTGCAGTGCTCCTGAAGAGAGATTACAGTGGCCTGGCCTAGAATTATAAGTGGGATTGGTGAGAAGCGGTTGGAATTGGAATATATTTTTGGTGGTAGAGTCAACAGGACTCACTAATGGAGTGAATGTGGTAAATGAAGGAGAAGAGTCAACAATGAAGCTTAGAAGTTTTTTTTTTTTTCCTTATTTTATGTTTCTTGTCTGATCATCTGGGTGGAGTGTGACTTCATTTCCTGCAATAGGGAAGGTTTGGGGGATTAAGGAGATCAATAATTTTGTTTGGGGGCATGTTAGGTAGGTAGTGAGGAATGTGTTTCTGGTGGTCAGGGGATCTGGAGGTCCAGGCAGGATTTGTAATTATGAAAGTTACAAATATGAAAATGCATGTAAAGTCATGAGTGTATATTCGATCACCTGGTGAGGGAGTTAGATGGAGGAGCCGAGGGCCTGGGCCACTCTCCTTACCTAAGAGTCCGACTGAGAAAGAGAAACCAGCAAAGGAGGCTGAGAAAGAGGAGCCAGTAATGGGAGAAGAAGCCCAAGTGAATACGGAATCCTAGAAGCTAGATAGGAACATATTTCAACAAGTAGGGGAAATTATCTGTATCAGATGCTGCTGAGAAGTCTAGTTTCTTGAGGACAAAGAAATGATCAACAGAGTTGACAAGATACAGAAATTGGTAAGAGCTACAGAGAGAGTTGTTGGACATAAAAGCCTATTTGCAGTGGATTGAAATGCTCACTGTATATTCAGACTAGAGTATTATTTTAGTATTATGTTTCATATCTCTTAATCCAATAATTCCAGGAATTTTATTTAAAAGAAGTTCTCCTGCTAAAATAATCATGAAGGTCCTTAAAGAGTTAAAGAGTTAACCCAACAATGCTCATTGGAACATATTATAGTGAAACATTAGGAAACTAGATTTCTAAAAAAAATATTGATATAGTTAAAGAAATTCTAGCAATCCAAATAGAAAATTACGTAGCCATAAACATATAATGTAGACGATATGAAAATATGGAAAGCCACATTCAAGATATATTAAGTAGTAAAAATTACAAAACAGAATATGTTCATATACACGGTGTCAGTACCTTCCAGCCAAAGACCACTAGGTCTTTGTTCAACCTGTAGTTGAACAAGTTGAGTTATTATTGCTCATTGCAATAAGAAAGAACATACATCATTCATTGTCAGTAAAAGACCATTAGCAAGGACCTGTTTTATAGGATTTGGGCTCGTGTTACATGATTTTGGGGAGGGTTTGAGGAAGTAAGGTTTTGCTCTGTTGATAAGATACGGTCAGAAAGCAGGAGCTATTCTACGGTAGGACATCTTAATAAATCTCATCTGTGAGGCAAGAGAATGGATTGAGGCGAAATCTGTAATTGGTAGATTAGCAACAGATACTAATGTCAATAAGGTTTGGGAGATTTTTGGTAATTTAATTGATTTGGAAAGTTCATGATTTTGTCAACATTAGACATGGCCTTGTTTTCATCCACATCCACAGTGTTCACAGAGTGGCTTTGTGCGATGTTAACGATTTGCACAACTGTTTGTGTTCAGCAGAGGAACAAAGTATCTTAGCTGTGAGTGTGGAGCAAGCACCTCGATGTCAGAGGATGCTTTTCTCTTTCTTTAAACTGTAAAAGACTGCAAGAATCTACTTCAGACATTTTGGGGGTAAAATTTATATCAATGAAAAAGTGCCAATTTTAAGTGTACAATTCGATTCGTGGTCATAAATGCATACACATTTTATTCCAGTCAAGAAATGGAATATTTTCCTCACCCCAGAAAGTTTTCTCATGCCCCTTTCTCGTCGTTCCCCACCCCGAGCTCTGATTGATAGTTTTGCCTGTTCTTGGACTTCATATAAATGGGATTATGCAGTACCTAGCTTTGTGCATGGCTTCTTTATCTCAGCATAAAGAATTTGAGATTCACCCGTGTTGTTGCATATATCAGTAATGCATTCTATTTCCTTGCAAAGTAGTTTATATTTTATATGTAAATTGTGGTATATATATATACCACATATATATACACACTGCATTTATATTGTGCATATGTGTATGTGTGTACTACAGTTTGGCCATTTATTATTCTGTTAATGGATATTTAGTTGTTCCAGTTTAAGACTATTATGAATAACGCTTCTGTAAACATTCTTTTACAAGACCTTATTGTGGACATAAATTTAGTTTTTTCTTGGGTTAAAACCTTCAAACCTAGGAGAACATTGATGGGTCATAGGGTAAAGACTTTTATATCCACAACCACTTTGGAA